ATGTAACTGGAGGTTATGAAATTGAACCAAAATTTTGAATCCTCATCCTCAACAGTGAAGTCTGGAACCTCTGGATTCCAATCTTTCAGCAGGATATACTGGCCATCAACTGACCACGTCTTTCCTTGGTAATATTATTTGGGGTATAAAGTGAAATATAAAGGGTGTCATTTGACCTGGATTTTGATTGTTCCCAGGATTCAACAATTTCAACATAATGTATCGACCATCAAATGACCCAGTTCTTCCATCTAAAATTATATCTCTATCATGTTCATAATGGAAGAGAAATTGAAAGCAATTATTCCCAAAATTTCTAATCGAGAAAGATTTCTTAGTTAGCCAAATTCTCTCTATTGTTGACTTCAGGTCACTAAAGTTATTTTTCTTCTCACCAATTTTTTTTCCAATTAAGCTTCATTGACATTCTCGTAGACTGGGGGGCAATATCTTCTACTGAAAGCTTTATTCCAAGTTCTTCTTTTTCAAATAAATTAAAACGAAGGATCTTATCAATAATTTCTTGATCCATCACAAAAACCCTAGAACTTCCCGAATAAACCCTACATACAGCAAACCACGACTGCAACACAAACAGACAATAACACTAAATAATCAATTACAGATAATTAGCACGATTGAAATAGCATACATCGAAACACAGAGAGCCAGAAAACAGCACAACACAAGTTAAATGGGCTTAAAACCCAAGACACAGACCAACCGGAAGCTAACACCACAGTGAGAATATAAAACCCAAAAAATAGGGCTAAGGATGCTGGAAGGCAGAGGAAAGAGAAAGACGGAACCCATGGTTACAAATCTTAAGAAATGAATTGGTGCTCAATACATAGAGAATACCCTAGAGAGGGACTGAGAAAAGGGATCTAAAATGGTGAATTAATAATGGGAGATGAAAGTAAATGAGTGGAGTTCAGGTATGGAACATATAGAATTTATGCTTTTATTGTTGTTTAATTGGGCATTCATATAGGAGTTGTGTTAAAAAGAATGATGATATTAATAAAACATACTCTTAACTGGCCAGTAAGATGATTGGTTGAGAGTAAGTAGTTCTGCGTCTAGCAGTTCTAGGAGTCATTCAAATCAAAATCTCGGTAGTCATGCTAGTACTGATTTCCATATTCCTACCCCTAATCCGAATGTAGCTAAGAGTGTGATGGGAGAAAAAATCAGTCAAGGTGAGCCTAGTCACTCAATTCCCATTTGCTTCTGTGATAAAGGCAAGAATCAGGTTGGGGAGTCAGGAGATAAAGTGAAACTAGTGTCCAGTAGTGTTAGGAAAAATGAACTTGTATCTAATAAAGGTACCGTTCCTAACTCTGAGTCATTGATTCACATTGAATTTAATCTTGTGGAAGTCAATGTACAACCTTCTTCCATTGGAAGAAGGATTGTGCATAGGAAAAAATCAGCTGCTCCTAAGATCCAGATTTCATAGACGTATGAAAACTCAGACAACATGATTGTAGAGGCACCTGAGAATTTAAGGGGGTAGATCTAAGGATGTTGTTAAAAGAAGTTGTGAGGTCATGTTTCAAGATGCTTCTCAAGATGTTTTTGTTAAAAAAAAAAAAGAGAAAAAAATGACTCTTCAAAAAATGTAGAGGTAGAGAAAACCAGCCCTAATTGGTTCCAAGGTTTTAAGTAAAAGTTATGGTGTCAAATTGTAGAGGTATGGAATGACCCTCTATAATTTCCTAGTTCAAGGAATTCTTAAGAACCAATTTTCTAATTTGGCTTTTTTATCTAAAACCAAGAACAAGACAAAAATTTGTGGAATTTATGTGTAAAAAACTTACAATGATTGATATATAATTGGTTTTATGTCAAACCTTTAGGTTTTAAAGGTCGACTTTTTCTGTGTTGGTCTCAGAGGATCTCAACTCTTAATATTGTGGACTCTGGTTTTTGTATAGAAGTTAAGTTTTCTAGGGTAAGACTTTCTAGAGTGTTTTGGGGTATTTTTGTTTATGTTAGCACTGATAGTGATATTAAAAAGCTGCAGTGGGAGGTTCTAATTAGGCATAGCCCATCTTGGGGGGATTTCTTCTTTATCTGCGGGGATTTTAATGATATTATTGATAATTTTGAAAAGTTGGGAGGTTTACAAAGAGAGGATTTCAGTTTTCTTGATTTCAGGAATCCGATTTTTACTTTAGGTGTTTTGGAAGCTAAAATTATAGGTCATCCTTTTACTTGGACTAACAATAGGAAATGTGATAAGCCTATAGAAGAAAAATTGGATAGATTCTTGTTCTCTCATAACTGGCTCCTCAATTTCCCTAATTCCCACATTAAGCATATTTTAGTTTTTTCACTCAGCACTATGCTCCTACTAGAAAGCATTTATGATTGTGAGAACTTGAAAAGGAGATTTGTATTTGATGCTATATGGCTAAAAGTTTATGGTTTTCATCAAATTTGGCTTTCTACTTGGAATTTGAATGTTTCTGGCCATGCTCTATACAATATTCAACAAAGAATGAAAAATGTTAGAAAGGCTCTTATTGACTGGAAAAAGAAAAATGTGTCAAATGCTAGCATCCAGATTGTTGATTGTACTGAAAAATTAGATAAACTTAGAAACAATGAGTGAATAAAGATTGGAGTGAATGGACCGATTGTAAAATTGAAATCCAGTTAGCTTATGAAAGTGGGGAGCTGTTTTGAAAACAGAAAGCTAGGGTTCTTTTGCTTAGAGAAGGTGACATGAATTCTAAGTTCTTCTATGCTAGTGTTAATTATAGAAGAAGAATTAACGGCCTAGACAACATTACTAAAGTTGTTGGCTCTAGATGTACTAACAAAGAGGAAATTGTAGCTAATATGTTTGAGTACTTTGATAGGTTGTTTCATTCTTCTAATCCTCTTGACCCGAAGTGTAGCTTAGAAAGAATTCCTAGATCCATCACTAGGGATATGAATGAAAATCTTGTTAGGACAATTGAGTAAGAAGAAACTAAAAGTTCTTTGTTTGGTACGGATCAAGATAAAGCTCCTGGGGAATATGAGTTTACTGCTTGCTTTTTTTCAAAAATCTGGTCCATTATTAAGCACCATGTTGCTTGCTGTGCAAAATTTTTTCAATTCTGGGAAGATACCTAAAGGCCTGAATCATGCTATAATCTATTTGATTCCCGAAAAGAAAAACTACCAGAGTAATTAGTTTTAGGCCTATTAGCATGTGCACAGTGGTTTACAAATTGATTGCTAAGATCATTGTTAATACGATGTTTTGTCTTGCTACATTTCTAGTTCTCAATTTGCTTTTGTTCCTGGTAGGAAAATTTTAAATAACGTGATAATAGTCAATGAATGTGTGCACTTTCGTAACAGTAAAAGAAAAGGAAAACAACATTTCATGGCCATCAAGTTTGATATGGCCAAAGCTTATGACCGAGTTGAATGGACTATTATCGCTAATGTTTGTAGACAGATGGTTTCAGTGAGGTCTTGTGGAGGAGAGTCACCGTCGTAGTGCAGCCGCCACTTGCCCTCACGCAGTAGACCACCGGTAGAGAGCATCGTTGTCGTAGTGCGGACGTCGACAGGTACATGGTCTAGTAATATGGATGAATTCATACATCTCTTTCTATGCTCAATGGAGCATGCATCTATGCTCGGGAGCAGACTCTTCGCCTTCTTCATGGCCATCGGAGACGTGCTCGACTACGTCACTGGAGCTGCCGACAGCCTCCATCACCTCCCATTCGCAGCAGAAACCTACACGTGCGACGAAAGTTGCGCTCGCATCAAGGCCTGCTTCATTCTGCACGTCGGGCTCGTCGTGGGCTCCGTGGCGGGCCTTATTGGGGAGAAGCCGCTAGACCCGTGAGGATTTGCAGTGGCATGACCCCGAACGAGTAGACGTCGGGTTTGGTCCCAAGCATGCCCGAAGGTAGGCAACAGTTGCGGATAGCCGACTAGTGACTGAACGATGGACTGGTTGACGGCCGACACGTTGAATTTTGAACTGTTTCTACCTAATCGGGTGTTGAGGTGGTTGTGCGAGATGTCTGTGGGCTGAGTGTCGGGCAGAGGCTGCGAGCGGGGTGCCAACAATGTCAAACATTGCTTATCTGAGGTGCGTCTGTTGTTGCGAGGAAGATGACCAGAATGGTGAACGGATAATAAAGGTAAGGCAAGGTTCAACCGATGCGTTTCTGGTCGATGTTCAGCGTCGGCTGTCTGCGAACTCGCAGCTGTTGTTGTCGTTGATGGTTGATTGCAGAGGATCGACTGAAGAAGTGTTTGTGCCCGACATGTCTAACCCTTACACGGCTATATTTCCCAACGTTTTTCGGCTGAAGGCAAGTTGGATGCCACGACGATGTGCTAGCCGATTTCTGCTTGATGGTTGTTGGGCTGCTTGGACACGCGGACAAAGGTTGTTGCTTGCCGACGGTGGTTGTACAAAATGCGGATCTCCGGACATGGGCCACTGAACGTGGATGGCTGAATTGGGATCTCCAGACATGGGTCATTGAACGTGGATGGTTGAACTTGTTGGCGTGAAGATGCTGGACGGAGATCTCGACAACATGTATATACATGCGGTTGTGCGTATAGGCTCTAATCATGCGGCCGTTAGAAAAAATCAACCTTTTTTAATAACATATATGAAATATATGAAATTATTAAAATGCCCTTAAAATCAGTTTTTATTAATCAAAACCTACTTTTATATCCGATTTAGGGAACAATTTGATAAAATCGTGTAGTACATGTAGTGATTTGTAAGGAAAAAAAATAAAAAAATTATATGGTGATGGTCACAATGATAATTCAAATTGGACAAAGTTTTTTTTTTTTTTTTCATCAATTTTGTTTAATAATCTATTTCATTACCTTTTGTGAAAAAAAATTACGTTTGAGTCGAGGGTTTTCTATTAAATTACTACGCAGGAATTGCGATTTGCGGGGAGGAGGGAGGAAGAAGGAAAAAGCTAAAAACCGAAAACATAGAAGAGAGGGAAATGGTGAGCGAAGAGGAAAGCGCGGTGAAGGAGCCATTGGATCTCATTCGCCTCAGTCTCGACGAGCGCATCTACGTCAAGCTCCGCCATGACCGCGAGCTCAGGGGCAAGCTTCATGTCTCTTTCTTTCTCTCTCTATATATATTTGTATGTTAGGATTATATGCACTTAATCTGGTTGTGCATAGTAAAATTTTGCTTTAATGATCACTGAAAAGTGCTAGTTTATGGTTGTGGAGCTAAGGTTTGAGTAATTTCCAGTTTACAGTTGATGAAATATTGGAATTTGCAGGATTAGGGTTATCTTTTTTTTTTTTTCCCCTCAAAATCAAATTATCGTAATCCGTCTGTACATTGTGGAAGTGTACATCAACATTACGTTTCGTGAGGCATCAGCAGTGTAACCATTCATGTGTTCAGGGATTTGAGTTAAACCGGTTCTTTGAGCTAAACGTTGATGGAACTACTTTGGTTTCTACTAATCTTTGGATAACCTCACTCGTGTTCCTTAACAAATTAGCCCATATTGTTCATATCAATAATATTAGCTCATATATATTTGGTGTTTATAATGTTTCTATTACTCTTCTCACATTCCTGTTGGACCATTTGTTATAAAGAGGGTAGCTTAATAGTTCCTGTAACTATGTGTGTATCGGGTAAAAGGATCGTCTGTTGACTGAATGACAATAGATAGAAGATACGAGCAGAGTTTCTTATGACGTTCGCTTTTTTTTTTTTTCGTAATACTAATTCTTATAAAGTCATTTGTTAAGTTGTTTATGCAGTAAATGAATGAACCAGTCGTTCAAAACACCTTCTTTCTCTGTAGTAACCAAGTATACAAGTTCTACTGTTCAGTGTTCACTGAAATTCTTGGAACTTTTGGTACTTTGATTTAATATTATCTTACGTGTGAATTTTGACAGGCTTATGATCAGCACTTGAATATGATTCTTGGTGATGTTGAAGAGATTGTTACTACCATTGAGATTGATGATGAAACTTACGAGGAGATTGTGAGGGTATGTTGTCACTATAGGACTATACCCATCGCTTTCTCATGAAATGGTTTATATTGAACATTGGGATGTATGATATACCATAATTCATGTCTACAAATTGAATGGTAAAGCATGGTAGTTAATATTATCAATGTTCTTGTGAAACAAGCTTAAACTCAGGTTATGATGATTGTGTGAAGCGGGATAACTTGCTGGTTTGTGCTTTCATGTTTTTTTTTTTCCCAATTTAATGTTTGAACTTCAATATTTTGGCAGACTACAAGGCGGACAGTACCGTTTCTATTCGTGAGAGGGGATGGTGTCATATTGGTCTCGCCCCCACTGCGAACAGCCTGATACAAGACGCGGAGTGGTTTTGAAGAGCCTAAAACAGCAAAGGCTTTGCTTGTGTTTTCTAGCTGTAACCCGATTTTCTTCCGAAGCCTCTGATGAGAAAATGTTTAACTTGCAGCTTAGTCGTGTATTTTCAGTTGTGGACTACCTGTAGTTTTGGTGAAATGTTTCGATTATATTCTTATGTGAACAATGTTCAGCTTTGAAACTTGCCTTGTGGGTTTTCTTCAGCTAAGTATATTTTACATGCATGTCAAGCTATTATACAATTTGAATTTGCGAACACAACTCAGTTTGATTTGTGAAAGTTTGAACTTAGCTCTTTCATTTACTTAAGTTGAGCTCGAACAATTAATTTAGCTCGTTATTGAACTAGCTGAGCCGAGCTGAACTTACTCGAGAATATTCGTTTTTCAGCCTTACTTTGTGAACTTTCATATCATCAAAGAGCTCATTTTAGAGTTTTAGTTTTTATTAAATGAACTAATCAGCTAAACCAAACCAAGCCTCTTGTTCATATATTAGTTCATTTATTATTTCAGCTTTCAAATGATAATGTATAACATATTTCGAGAATCTCTTAATTTATGCCCTTAAAATAATTTTATTGTCAACAATACTTTTGTATTATTATCTTATATCAAAACTTCCAAAATCTACCATTTTAAAACAATGAAAAATCTCCAAAATAAGACCATAACAAATACGGTAAAAGAATTCAAATATTACTGCGGTGTTCATTAGACAATGACTTAATAAATCCCTAAAAATTTCAACTAAATACATTTCATTATATATGACAGCTAAAAACCATCAGAAATAATAACACCAATGGATACAACGACTTGAATTTATATGAAAACAAAAATAAATAAATAAATAAATTGCTAAAAGACAACAATTCCACAAAATTTGCTAGAAAAAAAATGATATATTGAAAAAAAAAAAAACATGAATTGCACAACCTTCATCTGCGCCTATGCCGGGAGAAACTCGGTGAACCAATTGAGTGGCCTCCGTAGTTTCTACTTGGGGAATCCACTCGAAAAGAGGCCTGCTTTTGCTGACTCTGGAATCGAGTCAAGCGGTAATGTCTCCACAAAACACGCTGTATTGATCCTCGTCCTCTCCAGCTCAGCCTGAGGTAGCTCTGAACTGTACTGCTGGGCAAGAGCCTAGACAAAACAGAAACTCACGCAAGCTTGCTAACATATGAGAAACAGTTTGTGCCGATTTAAGTGGACTCCTATGCTGTAATAAGGAAAATATTCCAGGGAGTTGTTCTTTGGTTGAAGAAAAATGAACAGATATGAGAAATAAAAGAGCCTGTAGCTAAAAATTCCTTACAATCAGGTCATCTGGTGATGCAGTCGATAGCCTGTCCTCAAGCACGTCGTCACTTCCACGTGTGGGCCGGCGCTGATGACTTGGAGTCTCTATGGTCTCCGTCACGGTTTCAATGGACTTATCCAATAGGACCCCTTGCAGTAATTTGAGAGACTCCCTCGCATCATGAGTGAAGTAAGGATTCAATATGGTCTCAAAATATTCGAGCTGCACAGCAATCAAGGAAAACAAAATATTGCTGCCAGACAACTAACCATCAGAAGAATGAAAAAAAGTTTCATACCCAGGAGGGTTTTATTTATGCGGAAATGTTTTCATCACTTTCCATTACTAACCACGTTCATTTCAACAAAAAGGAAATTTTCCAACCAGTTCCGCTCATTTTATACATCAGAGCTTGATTCTGGACAAAATTCAAATTGGGAACATGGTGGATAATTCAACTTACCTCAAGCATTAGCTGGGATAAGCCATTGGCATCCAATGCCCTGAGATCTTTGTCTTTGGTTTCGTTAAAGAGGCCGAGTAGTATGTCGATCAAGCCTTGAATAAGAATACCAAGAATTTTGTCAAGCAGAGGCTTACATCCAGCAATAACCTGCATGATAACATATCTGGTTCTGAGAAAGTGCCCATCAACAAAACGTGGAGAGTTGGAGACTTAGCCTAATTGATGCATCAGAATTTGGATAGATACAAATGAATAAAATAAATGGGCAGAATTTGGTAAAGTACCTCAGCGTGTACAGCTACCAAGGGATGAAGTAAGTCAACAGCTGCATCTCTAACCCCCTGCAAGGTTTTGATGAATTAACTCTGAAATATGTATATTGCACACCCGAAGTTGCTATAACAATTAATTGAAAAAGGTAAGCAGTCCTCACTTTAACAGCAGGCGTTGCTCCCCATTGCACTCCGGCATCCAACAAGTAACTTACAGCAGCCTATCTAATCAAACTTGTCTACGGAAATGAATACAGAAATAATCAGATGAATATAAGTGCAAAGAAGCTGAATAATCCTAACCCGACCCCAAGATATTCAGTTTACGGCACTAAAATGTATATGATAGGGCACATAACTATCATACCAAAGATTTAGAAAAGCAAAACTTGATCAGGAAAGCATCTAACAGCATCAGCTAAACACTCACGAAATCAATCAAACTGAAAAAATGTGCATTTTAGGATCATGCAGGAATAAACACACCACACCATTCTCATGAAAATATAATATATATATATATATATATAAGTTTATATATATGTGCATTATGTATATATCTTTTATGGGCTGATCTAGCTCAAGTTATATCAGAATTCAATTAAACAAGAAGGATGTTCCCGTCGACATGTGACATGAGATTTATACTGTAAAAAGTTCTGTCTACGACAATGAGCCAACGGTCCTTAGATTTCAGAACATCTGATTTCTACACTAGTAATATTCTCTGCTAGATTTGTATAGTTACTCAATATGCAGTACAAACTGAGTATTGAGTCTCTGGTATTAGTTTCAGCTTCTCACATTATTTTTTTTCATATGTCATAGCAAATTTTTCTTGCGGGAACTTGAACTAGGTTGAGGTATAAAAAAAATAAAATGATAACAATTTTTAAATACCAAATAAGGATTAGTTTGGGAGCCATAATGGCATGGGATTTACACAGCTAAAAGTAACACATTTTACCGAATCAACAAGCAAACTTTCTCTAACATCATTTTCTAACCATTTCTTATCGTGGTAGTAAAATCCAGATATGCAGAGAGAGAAAAAGTGGGGAAGAGGGAGAGTATTGACATCAATAAATGATCAAAAGGTCAACAGTTGTAGCTCTAAGAAATCTAAAGTTCCATACAAAATACACTAAGAAATATAATTCAATCAGCCCTAGATTAACTTCCCCATTTAACATATCGCTTTTATTCAGCTCAAAAGCGCAAGGGGCTCCATACACTATTTTCTATGTATCAACATCCTTAACAAATGCTACTAGCAAAACGGTGAACTAAGAAACCGGATGGTCTTTTCTGATAAATTCATTGAAATAAAACTTGAACAAAATCTATAAAACTGTACGGTAAGATTTTCAAGTAACATAAATAAGATGTTGGGTATACACCAACCACTCCAAATAAAATAATCAGGCAGACACAAATTTGGACATACCTTGGCAACAGTGTATCGTGAAATTACTTTCTCTTCAAGAACTGAGAAAGATATGACCAGCTCTTGAATGTCACCATCATCCTCAACTTTTCCTCTGATGACAGAATGCAATATGTTTACATTAACATCAAGAGTTGGGAAGAAATATGTTCAATCATAACCTCATCCTCAAAACAAAATAAATTCGATCACAAACATCAACATTTTCGCGTGAGCTTTTAGAATGAAAAAGAAAACATTCGAGATTTTGAATTCAGAAGGTGAAGAAAAAGCTCTTGCCTTTCAATCATTTGAAACCTTTTCTTTCCCCTTGGGGTTTTGAAAGAAAGAATGCACAAAGGAATAGAAGAGTAAAAGAGGATGTTGCTTGCACAGACCACCAGTCTTTCTTGGCCAATATTATTGGGAAGCCAATATTAACAGACTCAAGTTTCCGGGTAATAAAGAGTTTCAGTAATCTAGGTCAGGGCTATTGTCAGTTCTACAGCCACACATCATAATTGCATTCTAATAAATACTAAACACAGGGTTGCATTATCTGTACCTTGACTGCCATACATATTTGTACTTCCCATACAGTTCATAAGCAAGTTCGTCTTTACAATATCCAATATTACTCAGAACCATTAGCAGCTGCTGGTGATGACCTACAATACTCCCAGGAGGAGGATATACTGGTTTCTCAATTGGTTCATGAGCATATCCATTTTGCAAACGTGGACTTCCAAAGATTGATCTATTCTCTATCAACTCAGATCCAATGTGCTCCAAGTGACCTGTCGTATTTGTCCCAAAAGTGCATCACTTATAGATCACCATTTCTTTCCATGAGATTACTTAGTTAAATATGAAAATTATCTAAAGCTGATATAACAAAGGCAGCAGAGGAATAGATATCGTCCATACCAGCAAAATCCAGATAACAGTTCAAAAACGAAATCCTAACTGATTCTTGCATTTCATGAAGTTGTGCAGAAACATCTTCAGATTTTGCTGATTCACTTTGCAAAGACTGAAGCATCCTGGAAAATGGTTGTCAACGGTCTCAACCATGTAACAAAGATAAATGAATTAACTTACTCAAGAAAGTGCAGAACTGCAGACAGAGAAAAATATTCGTAATAAATATGCTGTTATTAGCATGTGTAATGCTTCTTACGAGAAAAACTATTTTAAGTTTATAGAACTCATATGCCAAGCATAATCATCACACAAGGTCAATGTTAGAGCTAACTTTATTTCTTAACCACCAGAATACTTTGACAGTTTGTTTGGTATTGTTTTCCTTAAAAACTGAAGTTTAGTTTCTTATGCTGCAGAGATTCATGAATATCATGCAGTCTCATACGAGTACATGAATGCACAACTTGTGCAGGTCTTTCATGCCAATTTGGACGAATTTGGTTATTAAAGTGCAAGTTGAAGTAACAAAAACTGTAATTTGGAATCTCACGTGTTGATTTGATCCATTGCTGAGATCATTATTGCAAAAAATGCCAGAGGCAGCGACGAGATAGAATATGGGGACTTGTTTCTTTCTAAAACCGACACAGGAACCCAAGTTTCATCTTTTGATATCTCTTCTATTGAAGTCCGCATCCATGAACAAAGCCTGGCTATATAGATTTTTGAGATCTCAAATTCAAGTGACCTCAGAGCAGAGACTGCAAACATAAAAAGGTCACACTCAATCAAATAACAGGGTTATTATCCCCAGTAAGTAAAAATTCAGTTTATCTTTTAGCATGTGTGTGTACACACGGCAGGTGTGGTTTTAAGCTAAATTTTACCAGCAACTGGAGGAGCTGATTCTTTTGCTTCAAAAGCTTGACTTGCTATGGAGATTTCCCTTATAGCATCATTCATGTATGGACTGAGAATATTAGATTCTTCAAGATCACGAAATGTGCCGAGGACCTGGATAAGAATTTGTACATGCGAAGAAATTAGTAGCAATGAAATTTTTCCTACGATGAACAAATGATATATAGATATTCTTCAGAGGAATACAAGATATTTAGCGAAAGAAATCAATAGAAATCACTAGTTCAAACAACCAGTATGGCTGATTCCAAAACTTACGAGTTCCCCATCTTCGTAATCATTGAACAAAAATCATTTTCATCCTTAAAAAGTTCTCACATCAACATATTCAAGAAATGGCATCTACCTTAGCCTCATATGTTGATAGGGTATTGCGTATCATGCCAGAAACTTCATCAAAATCTCCCACTCTGTCCTCTGCTTTGTTGAAGGAACTATTTGCAGTTGGCTCAGCAGATACTTGAGAAGACTGAAAGAAGAGTGGATAATATAATAAGTGTTGAACAAGAACTATAAATTGGCTGTAACTGGAACAACTAAATTGATGTCTAATATTTATAACGTGAAAAATTACGACATATAATAATACTTAACTTAGGAAAAAAAAATATCAGTCCTCATAGTTGGAGGGTTACTCTTACAGAATGAAACTGATGGTAGCTGTTAGAGACTACTTATGATGTTTACCTTGTTGAAGAATAGCTAAACACAAATATATCGAGATAGAAGAATATATAAATATTTACAGAAGTCCTGTTGCTACTAAAGGGAATAAGAGATAGAGATACATAACCACTTAAGCTTGTTACCAAGATGAAAGCCCTGTCAGCGATAATGACAAAACAATATAGCATCATAGACTAGATAATATACCTTGGCAAATTTTCCACTGGAAACTGAAAGTGCTACTTTCCAAAAGACTGGTACACTATGGACAAGTACACCAGTTAACTGTGCAATATATCCACCCCAAAGAGCATCGAGTTCTTCACGAAATATTTCTGCCGGGAGTAAATCCCCAGGTAGATGGGAGCTTACGTCACTGAGAGAGTAATCCACATCTGACTGATAATTATACATGAAAAAAGATTCAAATTTGACCTGATGCCAACTTCAAACAAATCCAGTAGTCTCATATCTTGCACTTACAGATTGGTTCATACGTAGCTGGATTTGCCTCCATTTTGCATCAGACAATGCTTTTTCACGAAGCTCATCTGCAAATTCTCAACTCGTGCTTCATAGTCTAAACTGCATTTCTCAAGCAAACCTCTTATTTTACGGTTCTGTCATACAGTCAAAAACCAAAATTCAGCAAACTGATTGTCTTGACATGTAAGACAATTATGTCAGAAAGCCAAAATAATAGCATGGCTGTTGCAACACAGGAACGCAACAAAAATCTCATTACAATTACATTTATAAGTATGGATAACCCAAAATTGAAATAAGAGGAGAAATGAATATGTAAAGGTTATTAATAACTAAATTTGGTAGAAGAAAAGTTAACACTTGAAGAATCATCAACTATAGAAGCTTTTTAGAACAAAATTATGTATGCGATGAACAGAACATAACTTTAGATGATCATGATGAAGGACTGAAATCTCTCACCTGTATATTGAAGTAATGCTTTATGGGATCAGACTCAGGTTCAAGCTCCAGCAGAAGCCGCACATTATTTTCTAGCTACATGAAGCATCAAGACCAGTCAAAGTTTACACATAAAATACACAAAGGTACATGCTTAACCAAAACACTGGGTCACACAAAATGCTCTCTTTCAACAATTTAAGAAGTTTAATGATCAGCATTAATTGCTTCCAGCTTCCCATCCAATCTCAGAATGTTTAAAGAACTAAAAGCAAATTCCGTGACTCTAATACAACAAACAGCCTTGTTGGTGCTTGTGCATTTAAATTCCATGACTCTAATACAACACATAGCTTTTGCACCAGTTTTGCATCAAATAGTTTTTCCACATCTACAGCCTTTTAACACAACTTAAGTAGCTCAGTAATTCAAACTAAGTAACAGTAAGACAACGGCTGCAACTTAACCACAAGTAACCAGTGTAAAAAGAAAAATCATATTGGTACAAACTCAAATTTTCTTCACTTTCTGATAAAAAAATCAAACGTCACTGAACCAAGTAACTAATATAGGGAGTGTTAAGCTGTAGAACGACTTAAACTCTCCTAAAAGGTTGTAAAAGTTGCCTGCTGCAAGGAGTTAATATGATCAGTCTAATAAACAAATAGCCAGCAGAAGATATCCACAGCCAGTGCAGTTTGCAGAAAATGAGAGATAAACTGTGAGAACTGAGAAGGCAATTAATTTCTAATACTAAAAACACCAGTTACATTTTATTGGACACTTATTTTAAAGGAGGATAATAATAATAAAGAAACAAATAAATATATAAAGAAAATACTCCGAGCATTTGAATCAAGAGGTTCCAGATCAATAGAGGGTGAAGGAGCATTTGCTATATTATCGCTGATCAATCTAAATGTTTTGTGGTTAATTAGCCTGTCCATTAGAGAGATCAAATCAGCACTAAATCCGTAAAATAATGGTGGAAAAACAACCCAAGCAAGAAAAACTTACCCAAGTCCAAGAGGATCTACCCATTCTATGCCTCGAGGAAGTGACTGTAAATGGGTTAGTGCTTTTGGTTTCCGCTCAAACTTTTGAGCAACAGGGACTGCCCGTGTTTCCCTCATCTCGCGGACCCTCCTGGCCAGCTACCCCATGATTTTTTCAAAAACTAATGCAATTAGCACCGATTACCAGACATATGACCGCCAATCAATAATTACTCATAAAGCCTGAATAGAGAACGACAACATAAATAACTTCAGACCGCAAGATACAATTGGTGGGTTTTTTGCTCCTTTTTTAGTAGCAAGTGAGGTGTACATGAGATAAGTTGTGCAATTTCGCCAAATGCTAAAAATGCATAAATTAAGACACTGATGTATTTTTCTATCCAAGTAATTTTGTCGGTGTTAATTAGAAATATTCAATTTGAGATTGGAATCAAGGCACATGAAACAAGGAAACCACTGAATTTTGAGGTACTTTGAAACAAGAAGTTACAATGCAAGATTCAACAAGCTAGAATCTAAAAGAAAACAGTACAAAACACAACACAGCACTTGAACACATATAATCGATATCTTATACCATGCAGCATTTATCTCCTCACTCCCACCAATATATCAGCAACTTCTGCAATTCAGATACCTATAAATAAGTGCCTAATGTGGCTGATCTAGAGCTAATGACCTTTAACTCAAACTAAGGCCAATAACAGAGAAATTAGCATCCATTAATCTGTACAAGTACCAGATTCTCACACAGCGTGACTTCAGCAAAACACCACTTCAATGAAAAAAAACAAAGAAGAAGAATTAACCAATCCACTTCAAACTACGAACCACGCACGAGCTATATACACACACATAAATCAATACACCATACATTCCCTAGCATGAGAAGATACACCACCATACCTCAGCTTCATCAACGTGCTTCCAGAAGGTGGGCTCCTCCCCATTCCACTTGTCATCCTCCCTCCCGCTGCCGACACGGTTCCTGGGGACCACACCGCCTCGATCATCCTCATCCCCAGACGAAATGCTCAACAGCTCCACCTCCGAATCCTCGTTCTCGTCCAATGACAGCTTTGTCTGCATGCTTACCCCCTTCTTCTGCTGCGGAATCCCCGCCGCGTCGGGGTTCCTCGCTGCTGGCCCGCGGGTCGGCGGAGGCTGGACATAATTGCGGGCGGGCTTCTGCGTGGCCTGCGAGAGCTTCTTGTAATTGAGATCGCGCTGCGGCTGCTCTTTCAGTGCCATCTGCAGCAGCTCGTCCTCGTCCAAATCGTCGCCGTCGCTCGACATTTTTTCCCAATTCGAATTTGTCGGTAGTAACGTGTGGATACAGGCAGCTGTATCTATGTAAGCGAAATGTGTGAAACTATCAGGGAGTGGACCGCTCTGTGTGTGTGTATGGAGGGATAATTGATGAAATTGAGAGTTGTTAAGAGACAATGCGCGCTTGCAGAGGGTTGTCCTAAGAAGGCGAGGGGTAGGACGATCTGATGCGTCGCGGGTTATAGTAGTTTTACAAGTGCTGTTGCTCACGACACGGGCTGTTAAAACTAAAAAATATGAAATTTTATGTGAACTTTTATAATTTAAAAAGAATTCAAGTCAAGTTCATTATTTTTTTTTTTATTTTTTTTTATCGTTAAATAAATTTATATTGATCAAAACTGAAAGTTATACAACCGGATCGGCTTACAAGAGCAAAGCGGGTAGCCACAAGTCGGCTCCTCACTTGCAAGAACAAGAAATAACGAGGACAACCACAAGTCGGCTGCTCACTCGTTAGAAGAAAAAACAATAAAATTCCACGGGGGCGCTAGCAGTGAGGTAGCGAGCTCGGGCATTCAAGACCAAGACACCTCCTTTCAAATTCGGCAAGAACTCTCGAAAATAGAGCAAAGATGGAGCGATATACATGAGTCTTTACCTTTCTAATCACGAGGCTTGGAGGTTGGCTTTCATTCTCGAAAATCAATCGATTCATTGCATTCCAAATGAAGTACACGGTGGCCGCTACCGCCGCCTTCTTCATTTTGGCTCTCCAAGTCGTCCTTTTTCCTTCTTTTTTAGTCCATTTGAGGGCACCCTTGAGCGTTGTTGGACTATGCCGGAGGCTAACCCAAGTTCGAATTTCACTCCATATTTCCGAACTAAAGGGGCATTCCAATAAGAGGTGCTTTGAGGATTCATTTTCGATTCCACAACGGGGACACGCCGGGTCTTCATTGAAGAACTCAAGACGATCCCTCGTTTGGAGTCTATTCATCACTCCAAGCCATAAGATGAAGGAGTGCTTGGGGGTGTTACAACTCCCCAAACAACCCCGGCCCATGGCTTCTCGGTACCTTTAGGACGGAGAAAATCATAACACTTGCTAGTGCCATCTTGTTTGTCATGGGAAATCCAAGCACGGAGAAGGGCTTCCGCTCACCGAACACTACCCGCCTTCTCCATCAAGCCATGACGGATTTCAAAAAGAGATTTAAAGAGGGGGGAATCCGTCTTGGAAACTTGCCAATCCCAAATTGATTTCTCCTTCAAGTAGATGTTATGGATCCACTTGAACCATAGGGTATCCTTTTTAGCTTGCATGTTCCAAAGAGTCCTCATGAGGAGGGCTCGATTCCAAGCCCACAAGTTCCGGAGCCCCAATCCACCTTCCGATCGAGGCAAACACAAATTATCCCAAGCGACGGGGGCTTTTTTGGATCCCCACAAGTATCTTCTACAAAGTTGGGTGATTTTGGTGCGGACAATACCGGGCAAGTGGAAGATGCCCATCCAAAAGCAAGCAATACCTTGAATGACCGATCGAATTAGTTCCAATCTACCGGCATAAGAGAGGGAGTGGCCCCTCCACCCACTAAGTTTGCTTTCAATTTGGTTAATCATTTCATCAAATAGCCTCCCGGTAATTCGGTCCGCGGTTAGGGGAACTCCAAGGTACCGGAATGGCATAGGCCCACTCTTCATATTAGTGTCGTCAAGGATTGTCACCCGGTCTTGCTCTTTAACACCGGCCAAGTAGATATTGGACTTCAGCACGCTCATTTGAAGCCCCAATTTGGCCTCAAAGTCTCTTAAGCATTCCATGAGCACTTGAATTGACCCCGAATCACCCCGAGATAGGAGCATTAGGTCATCGGCGAAGACTAGATGAGAGATTTTTAGCTTCTCACACATAGGATGAAATTTAAAGTTTGGGTCTTCCGTCGTGTTGCATTTAATGAGCCTAGAGAGATATTCCATGCAAAGAACAAGAGGAAATGAGAGATGGGATCACCTTGCCTTAGGCCGTGAGCACCTTTGAAATAACCTTTAAGGCTTCTGTTGATGGATAGGGAATTCGTGGGGGTGGTGACGCACTCCATAATCAACTTGGAAAAAAGCGGCGGGAAGCCTAAGCCCTCAAGCATTTGCCTCAAGAAAGACCATGAGACGGAGTCGAATGCTTTACAAGGTCAATCTTGATTAAGTATCTCGGGGATACTCTTTTCCTCAAATATTGTCGGAGCAATTGTTGCATGAGATGGATATTGTCCGACATGTTTCTCCCTTTCACAAACGCGGCTTGAGCTTCGTCCAGTATACAGTCAAGAACTTCACTTATTCTTCGAGCAAGGATTTTCGAGCATATTTTATAAACAGTATTGCAACACGGGATAGGCCAGAAGTCCGTAACTCGGGATGAGTGGGAGGACTTCGGGACAAGCGTGATACCGGTATGGTTTCATTGCTTGAGGATGGAGATAGAGCGATAAAATTCTTGAATCGCCGCCACAACATCTTTACCAACAACTTCCCAACTTCATGCTGGCGCTATGTTAATAGTCCTAGATTAGATGACACTATCTAATACCATGATCCTTCCCAATAAGAAGAATGTAGAAGTGTATCCATCCAGACCCGGGGACTTACCTCCTTCGATGCCTATAAGGGTGGACTTAATCTCCTCTTCGGTAACCGGGCTAATTAGAGTGCTACATTGCTTAGGGTTAAGGATTGGCCCCAAACTTAGGATTTATGGATCAACCTCCTCCGTGTCAACCCCGGTTCCCAAAAAAGCTTCATAATATCGAGTGAATTCTTTTGTCACGTCCTCCATGGATCCGGTTAGGGTGCTATCCTCTCGCGTAATTGAAGCAATGTAATTCATTTCACCCTATTCTTAACCAAGCTATGATAGAACTTTGTGCATTTGTCTCCTTTAATTTGAAAATTGCATTTGGCCTTTTGTTGAAAAAATAGCTTTTCCGCTTTGGCCAAGTTGAGAGCTTGGAGTCTAAGAGGGCCCAACTTAGACTTGATGTCAAGGTTGCGCGTATGGTCATGGAGCAATTGTTGAGCTTTCTTGAGTGCGACTTTAGCTTCGTTGGCTCGGGTAGAGATATGTGAGAAGGATTTCCCATTGAGGGCCTTGAGCGAGCATTTGAGGTTCTTGAGATTAGTAGTGAGGCAGAATTGCCTCGATCCCCTACCGACATGACACCAAGTGTTGGTAACACACGACAAGAAATTCTCGTGCATTGTCCACATATTAAGAAGCGCCAAGGGGAACCCCCATTGGCTCCGGCTTTGAAGATGTTCACTAGACAAGGCGAGTGGTCGGATATGCCCGGAACGAGGAAGGTGGCGTGAGAGAAGTAGTCAGAGTTCACCCATTGGGGGTCCATCATGGCTCTATCAAGTTTGGACCAAACATGGCTATTGGTCCAAGTGTGAAAGAATCCACTAGAGGGGATGTCCGATAGCCCAAGAGAGTCACATAAATCAACAAGATCCATAGTATCACGATTTGTAACCCGTGCCCCATTAATTCTATCCTCCGGCTTGAGAATAGCATTAAAGTCACCAAGAACTAACCAAGGCAACATTCCACCCCGAGAAGCTTTAAGATCATTCCATAAGAGTTTTCCGTCACCCCGCGAATGGAGACCATATACAAAGCTAGTAAGAAAGGAATTAGTACTAACCTTGCAATGAATTTTTGTAAGGATGACTTGAGTAAGGTGCTCTCCACCGTGATGTCCACTCTTGAGGGGTTCCAAAGAATGGCAATACGTTCGTGATCAACAACATGGAAGTTCTCACAAAACTCTCAACCCGACAACCTCCTATGCATGAAGAGAGAGAGACGTCTATTGTCGGTTTTAGTCTCCAATAGACCCAAAATGTCTATGTTATTCTTCCGGATGAGGTTAACAACCTCATCTTGTTTTAGGGGCCCGTTAAAGCCTCTAATATTCTAAAATGCAATGATCATTGGGAAGAGGAGGGGTTGCCCCCTTTCTTCGAGTGCGCACTTTTCTCTGGGTCCTTTCTTGAGCTCGGCTTGTCCTTAACCTTCATTGTTTGCTCCAATTGAGGATTGTTGGTTGCCGAGCAACTTCTTGTGTCAACTTTGTTGCGCTTCTCCACCTTTTGGAAGCCATTCTCATCTGGGGCTTCCTCCATTTTTTCTCTTTCATCGGGTGAGGTTGAGTCGATGTCCGAGGAGCTAACGGCCTCCATCGGGGTAGTATTTCCATCCTTGTTTGTCTCTTTAGTGCTCTCTTGATTTGAATTGTTCCCAAGGCTCATGAGTACCTTGTTCTCATTTTCTTTAGTGGTCTTTGCCTTCTTCTTCTCGGGGGCATTGACCTTGAGAGTGTTATCCTCGGCTTTTTCCTCCGATTGTACTTCATTTACATGCTTCTCTGATTCCACATTTGTTTTCTTACCCTTTATGTGGGCCACATGCTTCCCACAATTAGAGAGGGAGTGACCAATGTACTTGCAACAAGAGCAATAATGGGGAACGTATTCATACTCCACCTTTTTCTCAAACAATAACCCTTCCTTGCCTTTGACGGGGACACTAAGGATCTGCTCCTTTCAGAGGTCTATCTCCACCAAAACCCGGGCGTAGTTCCTCCTAGCACGTGTTGCCGTTAGCTTATCAGTAGAGATGGGCTTGCCAACACACGAAGCTATTTTAGCAATAGCCTTGGCATTCTAACACTCCTCGGGCAAGAACGGGAGGTTGATCCAAGCGGGGACGACCTTGATATCATCTTCACCAAATTGGAACCAATTTGGGAGGTTCTTGAGAATGAGTCCCCTCCCGTATATGGTGTATGTCCCGCCTTGAAGGACTTTAACTCTATCTTCCTCGGTTTTAAATTTAAACACGATCCATCCATTAACAATTGGATAAATTTCAAATTCACATTCCATGTCTTGCAAAGCTTTAGAAGAGCTTCTTTTCCCAGATGTCTTTGGGTAAAATACCCAACGAGGCAAAATCCCCAAGTTTTGGTGAGCTCGGAAATATCATCTTCTTCAAGGTAAGCAAACCCCTCATTTGGTGGGACGTAGTCCAATTTGAGGCCGAGGGAGGGCTTGCGGTTGTCGGCAAAGAGGGCTGAGAAGGGCTTTTTTTGTGTAGTGGCGTCCTTTTGTGTCTTCCTCAAGTTTTCCTTTACATTTTCTCTATGAGGCATTCCATCAACCACCTTGTGGGTGCCATTTTTTCCTTGACTAGTTTCAAGCTCTTTGTTGTTCTCATTTCCCTCAAGCATCTCAACATCAAACCCCATATTGGCAACATCCTGAACGATATTATTCACATTAGTGAGCTTACCTTTGGCCGCGGCAAGCCCAAGGACGGTTTCGACATTTTCTTTACCCCTCTTAGCCGCGACTTTCTCTTTTCCGGCGGAAATTCTGGCCTCCTTAGAGGCAAGGGTGGACATGACCTCCTCTCCCTCATAGTCGGTATACTCCATGTCCTCCGAGTTATCAAGGATCAATTGCCGGTAGGAGGTCTTCTTCTTACTTCTAGGCATGATGTTCAACGGAAGCTACAAGTGATAGGGTCACCAAGCTCTTTCAAGGATCAAACATAGATGAATCCGGATTTAGATGCTTTGTGGAGGTAGAAATCAATGAAAAAACTAGAAAATTAAAAGAAGGAAGCTCAAATTTTGCCAAAGCCCTAGAATGCAAAGAGAATTCTAGTGAGAGAAACTCTCCCTTCTCTCTAACTTGGACAAGAAGGTTGTAGCTTTGTTTTAATTCAAGTTCATTAATAATTACCTCGATGAGGGCCCAAGACAGACTTCAACTGTTTAAGTAGTAAAAACTCAAGATTGGCTCGTATCGTTTACGCGACCATTGTCGTAGTCAATATTTAGAAGCGAATTCTTTGGAATCTCTTTTATACATATAAACAAAAATGTGAGGTCTTCTTAGCTTGATACGTGGTATTTTTCTGGACCAAAATATTCCTGAATGCCCACTCTTTTTACAAATGATGCCCCTATATTGATCGACTCATCTTATATCTTATTGTGTTGTTGTGAACTTATTGGAATGCCCTTTGAAGACCATCTTTTTCCACGCACGGAAAAGCCTGGTGAAACGATAATCATAAGGTGTGATTTTGTGGGAATACTCGCTGCTCTTTGAGAGATTTATTGCTCGGGAAATTTGGGTACGACATGTACTTCTCAGCTTTTTACCCATTCTTATCACGTTCTAGGATTTTGATGTTTCTTTTTTTGGTCTGTGTTTTTTGCTTTAGTGTTGATTACATATATTGTTTTTTAGATAGTCGTAATTCGGAGAAAGTATGCACCATTATTCGTGTGGTTTTATGGTGTGCTTGGATGAGATTCGTCGTTGTCGTTTGTGTCGCTTTGTTGTGTTGCCAATTTTATTTAAAATATTTGTTGTCGTTTGTGCTTTGCGTGTTTGTCTGTTGTTTTTTCTTTTTTTTTTTTTGAGTGTAACGTCATTTATGTGTTGTTTTGTTGATCTGCATTCAACACGAGCATCTTCTAATTCTGTAACCTTTTACAATTGTTCATGTCATCTTGTGGTCATGCCAATGGTTGGTCTCATTTTGCCCGCATAGAAAATTTTGTATGTGTACTGTGTGGTTGATTAGGACTTCGTGTACTGCTAATTGCAAATTCCATTTCGATCTCGCATGGTGCTGGTTTCCCCGCAGTTTGTTTTACGATTTCTGCTCTTTGTGTACATTGATTGCTTTTCAGATATTGTGGGTTATTTTGTTAGTGTATGTTTGAGAAATGGATATGATGATCTTATAACTGAGAAGTCTTTGTATATTGAACCATTCTTGTTGTATATTAATTTTTATATTTAATTATATACAGTTCGTTTGTTATCCAACGACTTTATGGAACATGTGCATCAATCAGGATGCAGTGATGCTTCTGGCTCGAAGATAAACAGACGACAATTTTCTCTTCATTGGTGGAGGGCCAAAAAGCAGCTTGTGGCTCAGTCTTTTTCATCAATGCCCAGCGCGTCTGCAGCCAGTCAGTCTGATGGCCCACTATTGTATAACCAAGGTTGGTGGCGGTTAGTGCCACTTTGGAAGGCCAGCAACCCTCAAGTATGCCATTGCGTGTTACATATAGCTAAGTTTTTTTTTTTTTCTTATTTCACAAAATTGTGCTGCATTTGCGAGAGGATCTTGGCTTACTTGACTCAATGATTTTCTTGCTTGACTTCAGCTTCTAGTTTCATTTCTTTGGCAGCCAATTTGGGTGCAGTTGCTGATCTAGGTTAGTACTTTGTGGGTGAAGGTGGAGTGTTTGTTTTTTAGTGCATTTAGTTTTTCTACTATGTGCCTTGACTGTTTCTACAGGTTCATCTACAAGTCGGAACCGCGGGTGAAGGCGCGCTCATGCCTTAGGTTTTATGTCATGTATTTTTATTTATTTATTTATGTTGTACAGTTTTGTAGTTTATTTATAACAATTACTTAATTATTTTCCCTGTCAATACTCTTTTCGTGCAGCACGTGGATACAAATATGGTCTACCGTGCTTCTTAACTTGCCTTCAGTTGTTATAACTTTGCGAGCGCAGCGTAAGTACAGTCACTGTGGCCCCTTGAGACTACTGTTTGAACCACCGAAATTTTGTTGTGTTGAAGGTAAGTTTAGATTGGCAAGCCAATCGTTGCCTGTAATTTTGAAAGAATTTTTGTTTTTGCAAACATATGAGGCAAAACTTTTTAGAGATTGCATAAAAATTATAAACAATAAATTTGCATTTACATCTTTGGGAGTAAATATGATAAAGAACTTTGCAAACGCAATAGAGGCATCTATACATTTCGAATTCAAAGCCAGATGTATCATTTCAAAAATGATGTGAAATCCTCGAAAAATCTACAACTATATTTCATGACATTGAACGTGAAGTTGCTAATAGACTTGAGGCAAGCTAAAAAATGGCTGAAAGTATGGTTGTTAAGATAATTAATGTACTGGAGAGCAATCCTTACGCAAAGTTCTTTCGTGGACTATAAAAATTGCAAATTTTGATGACTGTCAATTATGATGCATTTTTTGCCTGGTTTGGATCAAAATGTATATAATCAAGCAAATGAACATGAGGCAGTTGTGTTGATAGTTGATGCTCAGGACAATAATGAGCTCATCCATAGGGACATTCATGTTAGTAGTTTGGCAGGAGGTTATCATAGCATCCAGTACTATTATGGTTGTTATGATCCCTTACATTATCCTATTCTTTTTTTCTTTTGGTCTGGTGGGATGACATCAGAGAATAAAAAGATAACGTTCAAAACTCCCGCAAGGCCGAACCAGCAATGTAACTTTGTTCGTTCAGTTGCGCCGGCTGGTGCCATGGACGATGATGATTTGCTCTTCCGGGAAGAGATTAGTTAGTTCATTCTTTTTTAGAAACGATACAACAATTTCCTTGACCAAATATATGTACTCATTTATAAATGTTTGACATCCACAGCTGTCTCTAGCAAAGTCTTGTGTCTGCAAGGGAATACTATTGTTATTGTTAGTTATATAGTTGTTGTATTATGTATTGCAGGGTTAGATTAATGCTCAACCTTAGTGAGACCCATCTTTTGTCTTTATATACATGTACATACCTTTGTGATTAATACAAGATAGTTTTTCCACTTTCTTACATGGTATCAGACTAGGTTTAGGGTCACATATATGTTTGGTCTTTCGTTAGCTCGTTGGGAGTTTGATTTATTTGACTGTTAATCGGCTCGATATAGCTCATGTTGTTCATATTGTGAGTCGGTTTATGACTGCTCTGAGAACAACGCATCATTCTGCTGTGTTGCACATCCTTCGATGTGTGAAGGACACTCTGCTACATGGTTTACACTTCTGAGCTTGTTCTTCCTTAACTTTTGGCGGCTATTTTGATGGGGATTGGGCTGGAGATCCTACTGACCGTCGCTCCATCAATGGGTACTGCTTCTTTATGGGTGATTCACTCGTCTCTTGGCGTAGTAAGAATCAAACCTTAGTTTCCAGATCAAGTGCTGAGTCTGAGTACCGTGCTCTTGCTGATTCCACCTTCGAGCTACTATGGTTATGTCAGCTACTTGCTGATCTCGGTGCACCTCAGTCGTCGTCTACTACTCTACATTGTGATAGTCATGATGCTATAAAGATGTCTCATAATGATACATTTCATGAACGCACGAAGCATATTGAGACTGACTGTCACTTCATTCGAAAGCATGTTGCACATGGGACTGTGAAGCTTGTTTCCATCTCCTCTACGGATCAACCAACGAATGTCTTCACGAAGTCTCTCCTTCTCGGTCGCTTTTGTTTACTTCATAGCAAACTCAAGTTGATCTCCACTATACCACCTTGAGTTTGAATGGGGAGAGGGGAGAGGTTTAAGTTTTATAGTTGTTGTATTATGTATTGTAGAGTTAGATTAAGGCCCAACCTGAGTGAGGCCCATTTTTTGTCTTTATATATATGTACATATCTTTGTGATTAATACAAAATAATTTTTCCACATTCTCACAGTTATAAGCTACAGGTGCGTAGTTCTGATGATTCTTTTTTGGTGCACTTTGGAAGACAATTTCAACAATATATTGTGGACATATATGTTAAAGTAGAGACACAAAGATTTGATTTTTACAAGACACAACAAATAGAAATAAGGAATGAGGTTCTCCAGGGGGTTCACGATCTTTGGCATCTGGGAAAACAGATCCAGGTATGATAGGACAACTAATATACCTGTCTTCTTGCTTTATTGGTGGTCCAAGCAGCATGAAAAGGAGATACATTGATGCATTGACATTAGTTCAAAAGTTTGGTAGGCCCGATACTTTTCTTACAATGACATGTAATCCAAACTGGCCAGAAATCAAATCATTATTGCATGAAGTAAATGGATCCCAAAATCAGTCTGATCTGATCTCCATGGTTTTTAGGGCTAAACTAGAGGAATTGGAGAACGACCTCTTTAAAAAGAGCATATTTCGTGAGGTTGTTGCATACACATATACCATTGAATTTCAAAAGAGAGGCTTGATGCATACACACATCCTACTCATTTTGCACCCACATTTTAAAATGCACGAGACTGGTGAATATGAAAAAATTGTTGGCGCTGAAATTTCAGATAGGCCCAAAAAAAAAGTGCGCATTTATAAGGTCTTGTTGTAAAGCATATGTTGCATGGACCTAGTGGTGAAATGAACCCCTAAAGCCTAAGTATGAATAAAAAAAATGTGTAAAAACTTTTACCCTAAAGAATTATGTTATCAGACTACACGCATTGATGATACATATCCTAGGTACATACGAAGGACGTTGTGTGAGGATTAGGGTTAGAATTAGACAATAGGTGGGTAATTCCACATAAAACTCATACTTTCTTGCAAAGTTTAAGTGTCACATTAACGTTGATGTGTGCTCTACTATACATGCAATTTAATATATCTATAAATACATTTGCAAGGGCCATAAAGGATTGCATTTCATGTTGATGCTAGGAACCCT